CCAAGAGAACATGTGAACATAAACCCCCCTGATAGTGCCCCTAGTCCTGTGCTTCGGCCAGCGCCGTCAGTACAGTCRAGTTCAGGTTCCATGTCCTTATTGGCCACGCTGAGTCTTGCATACACCACATCRCCTATCTGGGAATCATATTTTAATTTCTAATGTGTTATATCATACACAAGACAAAATTATCCTTAAAAAAGTTTAAAAAATGACAAATTTAACTAATAGTCTCCTTCATGGTTACCTGCGCCATGTCGAAAGGTAGCCATGCCTTAACATCGAAGCGAGACAACCGTTGAGCATGCAATGATAGAAACCTGTGAATAATTATCTGTAGGTGTGAAAGAAGATTTCTATCATGCTCAACGGTCGTCTCGCTTCGATGCAAAGGCACGGCTACCTTTCAAGATGGCGCAGGTAACCGTGAAGGAGAATATTACTTTGTTTCATATTATATTAACAAAGAAGACAACACAATTTGGTACAATGTTCGTACTATTTGTTTTTCAGCTCTTCTACGGAGTGGAGAAAAGTACAGATTGTACATGGCAAGCTTTTTTAAAAATTACTGTGGAACTTGACAAAATTCAGTAAGTTATTTTATTGTTGTCAAATGATAACAAAGATACTTTTACCATTTAAGAAAGAGTATTATAAATATAATAGTCTGTAACCTGTAAATTTGGTCTGTTTCGCTTAGTTGCTCCTTCAAAGGCTAAAAATGACAGTGATGCAGCCATGCTTGTTCCAACGTCAACCTTGAAGTTTTCCCCTGTTTTGTTGGTTATAATGCCGATGACTCTTTCTTCCTTTACTGGTACATACTAGCAATGATATACAAATACTTGCATGAAAGGTTTGCAATAATAAAATAATTTTACGACACAAAAAATACGCTTAAGTTAAATTGTCAAGTCTACGCTGTCWTAATCTATWGTGGGATTTCCACCAAAAAAGCCAGTAAATTCATGGCTTATTTTATACATTATCATAAATATGTTATATCAAAAAAAGTATTTAATTGGATTATAAATTTATTATAATCAACAATTTCAGACTTACTCGTTTTTGACTGCAGTCGATCCAAAAKGTAGCTGGATTTCGATGYCTCAAAATGCCTGATTTAAAAGCTACTACATCGTCTTTGTCTTGTCTAAGACCGGGTCCAAGTCTCAGCTTAGACTTTTTATCTGTGGAAGCTTGTAAATTGTGAACGTTATCTATAATATCGCCAGGCATTACTACACGCGCATTTTTCATGGCGGCCGCCATCTTGTTTTTCGAAAGTGTCCGCTGAAGTGAGGATCGAATACTTCCCTTAACACAGGGATCCCAAACAATTTCGATCGACTTGGTACACTCCTGACAATCATACTATTATTATTTTTATTAAGGAATGGGCGATTATATGATTATAGAGCAGAGTCACATGAACCATGAAATAAGAACTAAAAAGTACTAACTAATAGGGACTATTAGTTCCTAATAGTCGTTAGCACTGAACCAGAACAGTTTATTTTATCCAATAAGCAATACCCAAGGGACCACTTTAACAATCAAAGTAATCTCTTTGTACTGTTCTGGTTCAAGTGACTCTGCTCTATGATAAAATCACAAACTAAATACTAACAAATAGTGACTATTTTAGAGACAAGTGTTATGTGCTAAAATACTTAATGTAGAGGTAGTGAGTGTGAGAGAGGGTCCGCAGTAATTGGCTCACGCTGTTGCGGTGTCCCTGCCAATACTAGGGGCAAAGCTAATAAATTTAAAATTTAAACTTAAATTTCAAATTGTTAGTATCAAAGAACCAGAAAACACTGAAGATGAATCCACATGGGACCATTTTCACATTCATCTTTATTGCGTTCTGGTTCATTGATATTGACAATTTGTCTCCAAATAGCCGCTATTTTTTAGTATTTAGTTTGATTTTATTTCATGGTTTTCCT